GAGTGTGAACCGCCAGCCTTCTGGTTAGCAGTCAAGTGCCTTAGCCACTATGCTACCAGAGCTCCTTAGGGAACTGTATTTCAAGTCTTAAAATTGAGAATTAAGACGGTTACCTGGCTGAGAAAAGGCAATGGGCAAGAGACCTGGGGTTTAAAGATGGAGTCGGAATTGACTTGACGGTAAAGGGTTATTTTGGGTAATAATTGGAGCAGATAACGTTTCATGTGTGCTTTTATGAGTGAATTCACCAAATCCTTTGCACAACAGCCCTATGAAGGGTAACACTAGATGAAGAAATCAGGCTTCAGGAGGGGAAGTGAGGAGCTCAGGATGACAGCAAGTCTGACCCGACTGTGCCCTCGAGCACCATGTGGCCTCTATCCCCATATGTGCACCTTGGAAAAGTGTCAGCTTCTTTTGATTTTATGACTAATGTACCTCAGCTTAACACAGTGAAGCTAGAGAGAGAGGGACTTTTCCTATTCAAATGACACTACGTTATAAAAAGGCAAGAATTCTTAAAGTATACAGGTCTTTCCACAGTTGAGGAGGGGTGCACTCTCCTCTATCTCAGACCAGAGCTGGGAGCTTTTCTGAACGGTTCTTTGCACAAGGATTAGAAGACGTCATCTCACTGCACCCTCTAGTGGCTGGCCTGGAGTACATCATCAGGCATATTGCTCCCTCAACTTTTCAGTCGAAGTAGACTTTCCAGCTATTTAACGGGAACAGTAAGCAGCATCACGATAAACAGAGAAAAATATCAAAGTCATAAAGAATTTCATTTTACTGGGATGCACAATCAATGCCCATGGAAGTAGCAGTCAAGAAATAAAACAGCATATTGTATTGGACAAATCTGCTGCAAAAGAATTCTTTAAAGTGTTAAAAAGCAAAGATGTCACTTTGAAGACTAAGGTGCACCTAATTCGAGCCATGGTATTTTTAATTGTCTCATATGCACGGGGAAGGGAGGATGTGCTACCATTCACTTTTCAGTTTGTTGTACTGCGGTGGCTTGTGTGTTGCTGTGAGGCTGGGGGCTACGCCACCAGTGTTTCAAATGCCACCAGCAGGGTCACCCTTCGTGGGCAGGTTTCAGTGGAGCTTCCAGACTAAGACAGACTCGGCAGAAGAAAGGGGCTATCTACTTCTCAAAGAACTGGCGGGTGAA